GAAACCACCAAAAGAACCAGCCAGGGAGTGGTTAGTACTATTTGAGGCCTTGAGTAATTGAAGGTATATGTGTTTCTCTTTGAGGCTCTTGCAGAAAACATTTTAAAAGAGGCCCAAAGGCAAGCTGACCAGATTTTAGCAGAAGCTAAGCAGAAAGCCAGCAAGATGTTGCAAGAGTCAGGCTTAGCAGTGAAGCATCCAGCAACATCTCCTTCATCAGCCAGTCCTGCAACTTCTCCAGCACCAAGCCCCTCATCAGTTTCTCCCAAAGTAGCAAGTGCACTTCTCAGGAAGCTCTCCTCATCAGACTTTGTCACACCACCAAGGCAAACAGTAAGGACACAATCACCACAAACCAGTGGTGGATCAGATGCTTCCAAGGGCAAAGTGCAGCACTCTTTAGCTAAGTTCTGGGGATCACCAGAAGAGCAACAGCAGGATAAGCCAGTCCTGAGAACATTAGAACTGCAACCAAGAGTTCACAAAAGCAAAGCAATGAGAGCAGTGGAAGCCCTACAGAAAGAAATGGAAGACCAGCTGATGAAACATGAGGAGGTGGATGAGGTGGGCAAAGAAAGGGAGGAGGAGATGGAGAGATTGAGACTAAAGAAGCTGCGCAGTCGAGGTGGCAGGCCAAAGTCATCAGAAGCTTTGGTCATACCAGGGGATCAGACAGCCAAGAAGGTAGTTGATGGTGCAAAGAAAAAATTGAGTTTGGTGCATTTGAGAAGAAGGATATCTGCAGATACATTGAGAATGCCAAGAGTAGCCATCCAAATGAAAAGGCATTGTGGCAAGCATGCAGGATAAAGTTTGGTATCAGTGTGCAGCAGTTGAAAGAATTATACAGCAAAAGGGATGAGTGGGACAGATTAGTGAAGAAGCATGGCTTGGGAAGAAGGAGAGGGCCAGCCCAAGGCTTCCATAAGAGAGTGAGGAATGCAAGAGTCAGGGCATCAGGAGCAGGACGCAAAAGAGAATTTGATCAGCAGGTAAAAGATCTGAAGCATTGGCTTCAAATGGAGCGCAGCCATGGGCATTGTGTATCCAAGAGAGAGTTGCTGTTAGAATTTTGCACAAGGCTGGATCAGCTCTCAGCAGAGTGTGCCATCAAGGCAGCAAGGGATGAGAACCAGCAGAGGGCTGCAGCATGGAGGAGGGAAAGTGAGCATGCATTTAAGCGCAAGCAGCTATTGCTGAATCCCAAGACATCAACAGGCAAGAACTATGTAGAGAAATTGATCCAGTGGATGGATGCCAAATACATGCAGAAAGAGCTATCTCATCAACCAAGCAGATTAGTGACATTAGTGAAGTCATTGAGAGGTTAGTCAAAACATTG